TTTTTTATTTCATTGATGAAAAAAAAAAAGTGCTATTGAACCCCCATTTTTGCAGTTGCCAAATACAAATCGAGTCACTATTCACATGACCAAACCAATAGCTATCAGTATCACCCATGAAGAAAAAAATAAAAATTTCCATTCTATTAAACAGTGACCATCAATTTGTTAAAAAAAATATATCATGAAATTGCAGAAAAAGAATAGGCAAGCTTGAATATCGTTTCTTTCTTTGGTTTCAGACTTTCAGGTGCGCATAGAAAATAGTTGGATCCCATAAATTATAAAAATAAAAATAAAAATAAAAATAATAAAATTAGGGAACATACTCGCACGCAGTTTTGGGTGATGTGAACGGGCTCAGCGGAAGAAGAAGAGGGAGTGGCATGGTGAAGAGTCGAAGCAGAAGCAGAAGCAGAAGCAGAAGCAGATGAAGAAAACCGCACAAGGTTGTGGTTGTGTCGGAATCGTGCTGCCAATTGCAAAGCGAGGCTTCGAATCATTGATCGTTCTTATGTTGTCTCGCAAATCAAATGAAAGTGAAAATGAAAGTGAAATGAAATGAACGATGTTGTCTGAGATTGCGTTTGTTATTTCACGGTAGCGTATAGCGCAGCCACACAACGTAGGTGTTTTGTTTTCTATTGTGGTGGATTCCATCACCTCGTTGGCGGAAGGATCCAACGGCTCATAATTTACCAACTCATCCCACGCTCAAATAGATTAATTAATATTATATTATGATTATTATGTAAATTAAATTTTAGAATGAAAGTACACAATCAACACATGCATGTCAAAGTGGCTTAATTTACTCGTTTAACTTAAATAGCTTTTTTTTACATCACATCTAAAAAGGTTAAGTTTAAAATTGTTTTTAAAAAATCTTCAATTAAAAATATATTTTATTTTTATAGTCTTAAAAGTCCTCTTATTTATACTCAAACAAACTCTAAATTGAGTTTTATGGTTAAACTTTATGATTAGTATAGTTCAATTTATATATTAAATCTAATACAACGCGTAAAAAGGACAAATTGAGTTAATTGATTTATTGGTTTGGATTTTTTTTCGCGTGTGTAATATTTAATAGAATGTTTAATTAAAATTATATTATCAGATAAAATGTTAAATTAAATAGACTATTTTAAATGTCTATTTTATTACTTTGTTTTACTTTTTTTTTATTTTTTTTATTTTTATGAATACTCTGTTTTACATTTTTTTTAATATATGATAATAGTTGCTAAAATTCATTGTGACAACTGGGAAGATAATTTAATACTCTTTTCTTTTTTTAATTGTGACTGACTCTCTTATTTTCATTATTCTTTTTTACTATTTATATTTTTCTGTCATTTGAGGACGATTTTTGGAGAAAAAAAATTCTTGCTGTCCTTATTTCCATTTGTCTATTTTATTTTAATTTATAAAATTATAATATACATTATTAATAAATTAATATACACTTACTTTTGTCGAATGTCATCTATGTTTTTTTTATTTATTGAAAACATATTAAATTGTATTAAAAAATTAACATCGAAAAAGTTTTCTTATCTGACTCTATTTACATTTTTTTTATTTTAACATATAATAAATAAACAATTAAAAATCTTGTTATTCTTGAAATATTTTTATTTAATTATTAAAATACACCATTTTAATGTTTAATTTGCTTAATATTTTAAAATATTAATAAAATAAAAATTTAACCATGCATTTTATTATAGATCAAAACTAAAACACAGGTTAAGTATGATTAGTATTATTTTCTAACTAAAATTAGAATTTTATCTGGATAACATACATTTAAATATAAATACTAAATTATTTGTTTGATTCTTAATCTCTTAATTGTTTTTTCTTTTTAAAATACTACATGAACACTTTTTAACTACATAAAAGATGTTTTGTTGTAATTTACTCTTTATTTCTTATAAAATGGTAGCACTTTTTAACAATTTTTTATTTATTTACATTTTATGATTCATTAAAATTATTAAAAAAATTCCAAATTTTTTTTTTGAAGGGAAAAAATTTCAAATTTTGATAAGTTGTATTATTAAATTAAGAAAGGTATACTCAAATATATGATTTTTAATGAATTTAAAATTGTTAGAAAATGAGTGTTAATATAATAATTATAAATAAATAAATTTTGAAAAACAAATTAGCAAGACTCTTGCAATTGCCCATTCATCCTCTTAATTTAGGGAGTTGCTACAGTACCCTTAAAGAATGAGAAGTTTCCATACATTTTTCTATATAAACTCATAAAAGATTTTAAAAAAATTAATTTAATTATAAAATGAATAATCCAAATTATACTTATAAAATAAAAAGTAAGATAAAATTATAGAGATTAAAATTATAGAATTTCAATAATATTATAAAATATTAAAAATAAATAAATAATAAAATTTTAAGTGAAAAAGATAAAAATATACTTAAAAAATTATTAAAACTAAACTATTTAAATATATAATAATATTATTACAAATAAATTAAATTATATAAAATAAAAATAAAATAACTAAATATTTTAAAAATTAAAAGAATAAAATATCATAAATATTATTTAAATAAATTATTAAAAATATAAAATATAAAAAACTATACGGGTAACAGTGGTGTGTTAAATTGCAGTCGCCATTACAGCGTAGCTCCGATCATCGAGAATGCGTAACCTCGCTGCACCTCGTTCCTTCCGTCTTTGCATCAACTCACCCATCTCTCGCGGCAATAAGCTTCCTTCTGTTACTCTCAACCCTCTTTGGACACCTTCCAGTAACTTCTCTCTCTCTCTCTCTCATGTATGTATCTGATTTTTCTTTATCATTCCTCTCTAATCTCTTTTCCACTCCACAGGAACATCTCCACCGTCCATTCAATGCGCCGTTCAATTCCGCCCCTGCATCGATATCCACAAGGTAGCTACCACCGTCTTCCTCTTTCTCTGAATCAATCCCTTTTTCTCTGATTGAGTGAAACGCTGCGTTTTATGGCAGGGGAAAGTGAAGCAAATTGTGGGGTCCACCCTTCAGGATTTGAAAGGGTCGGATCCTGTCACCAATTTTGAGTCTGACAAGTCGGCGGCGGAGTATGCTGCGCTTTACAAACGAGACGGACTCACCGGCGGCCACGTCATCATGCTCGGTGCTGACCCTTTCAGCAAAGCTGCTGCGCTTCAAGCATTGCATGCTTATCCCGGTATTGTTCTTGTTACCACTTTCTATTTGCTACCACTCATTTCTCGCATTCGTGTTTAATGTTTATAGCATCACCATCACATGTTTGGTTTAACTTTTTCTAGAATCACTTATAAGAGTGTAAAAGAAAGGGTCTCTTTGGATTAACTTCTCCGGAAGCACTTCTTGGAGAATAGAAATAGGAAGAAAAAAAAATGAAATTAGTGCTTTAATAAGTTAAAATTAGCTTATGCATAAGTTAATCTCTAGACACTCTCTCGTGGTGTTTTTCCAAAAATTGATTTTTAACATATGTGTAAGCTTGTTTTATCTTATAGAGAAGTTTATTACATGCTTTTTTTCCTACTTTTTTCTCCTAGAAGTGTTCTTAGATAAGTTTATCTAAATAGACTCTAAGAAAGGAAAATAAAATAAACTTCTTCATAATTCAAAATTAGAATATGCATAAGCTAATTTGTAGAAGATCTCTCATGTTAGCTTCTCCAAAATCTTATTTTTAATTTATAGATAAACTAATTTTAGCTTATACAGAAACTTATTTCATTTTTTCTTCTTATTTTTTTTTTCTTTTATAAATGCTTATAGAAAAATTAATCCAAACAAGCTCTACAGATAATTAGTTTTAGAATATGATGCTCGTTGACCGTGATGTAGGATGTTTCTTTGATTTCAAACTTATGACAAATGCAATCAAGAGGAGTGCTGGCAATGCACTTCTTTAGTTTCAACGTTTTTTCTTCATTTGGTTGAAATTCATGTGAATTCTACTGGTTTGTGAATGAGCCCCGTCATATGAAAAATGAGAGCAATATGTTTAGCGGGACTCATGAATTTCACCCACAAGGTAAATGCGTGTCAGAGAGTATTAGAAAATTTATTGCTAACATAATGGAACTAATCATCTACATAAATAAATAAATGATTTTCAACCACTTAGTACATGTTTGGGTACATGCCTACACAGTTATCTTAGGGAACTGATTGTTTTGGTTTTTTGAAGTGCTCTCTCAAGAAGTTAAAAAAGTTAAGAGCTCTTCAATTAGTGAATTTCAAACACACTATCTTAAGAAGTTTTGCACTATTGGTTAGTTATAGGGTGTCACCTATCTAAATAACTCTTTAGAAGCTCACTAATTATTAATAAATAAAAAGTAGTTGCTATAAAACTATAACGATATGGTGGCTGTTGTTTCCTCTCACTGTAGTGTAACCGTGGATTGAATTTAAAATCTAAATTAGTTAAGTGAAAAGATACAGGACATAAATTATTTGGCAAATGTTCTGCATATTTTTTGTAATAGTCATCTATTGGGTGGCTTTTTTCTGCTTTGGCCTTTTTGTTGACATAAAACTAATTGTACAGTCTTTAAAACTTAAAAGTGCCTTTTCTATGCCTTGATACTGCATCCCCTGTCTTTTATGGTTGATGGTATCTTTAAAACTTACAGATTTTTCCTCTGCTGAACTTACTGTGGAGGACTGGTAAAATTTAGGCGGTCTTCAAGTTGGAGGAGGAATAAATTCTGACAATTGTTTGAGTTACATTGAGGAAGGAGCAAGCCATGTCATTGTTACATCTGTAAGCTATATCTCTTTTCTCCTTTTTAGCATTGTTCAATGTTTTAGTTCCAGTATCATTTATCCAATACACATAGACAGAAAAAAATGTCTCATTAAATGTTTATGGACAGGGCGTCCTACTTAAATGCACTTTCAAATACCTTTGCACATTATAAATAGGGTTGATCTGCAATCATGAAGAACAGTTTTCCTTTCTTTTCAATATATATATATATTTATATATATTTTTTTATTTCAATTGTAGACTGAAAATTAAAGCACAGAAAAGACCATATATTTGTCAGGTTGCTAGAAAAACTCATTAATTTCCATGGGGGGTCATCTCCAATCTTGATTTCTGTTAAATCAACTCACTGATTATCTCACTGAAGAAAACTTGATTTGGCATTTGTTAATGGAAGATTATTTTAGACATTATATTTATTGATTCTGTATTTGCAGTATGTATTCAATAATGGACAAATGGATCTTGGAAGGCTAAAAGATCTTGTTCAAATTGTTGGAAAAGAGAGGCTTGTTTTGGATCTCAGTTGCAGAAAAAAGGTACTAATATTTGACTGTAAATTTGTTCAAGAAAAAGTCGTACCAGAAGAAAAGTGAATATTTTTAATACTTGGCTAAAAGTGTTCAAATACTCTAGAGCAGTACCATCCATGTAAGCTGGGGGAACTGGGGAAGTCATCAGTAATTAGGAAATAGTTTTGTGTATTAATAATTTGGCACACTTGAAGTGTGAACAGTCAAGACAATTTTATGATGTTTATCTACAGGTCCCTATATTTTTATGCTTTCTGATCATTTAGTTGAAATTTTTTTAAGCACTCATGGTTTTTGATGGTCAGGATGGTAAATATGCAATTGTCACTGATAGATGGCAGAAGTTCAGTGATGTTTTTGTGGAGCCTGATGTAATGCAATTTCTTGCCAACTTTGCTGATGAGTTTCTGGTTCATGGTGTTGATGTTGAAGGGAAGAAGTAAGAAGCAATTTTTAATGTCTTAAAATAACTGCATATAAGGACAAAGATTCTAGTTATAGAATTAGGAGTGACAAATCCATATTTGATAAAATACTTGCTAATCTATCCCGAAAGAAATAGAAAAGTGTTCTGTATGTAACATGTTCTGTTTATTTCTTGGTTTTGTCATTGCTGCTAAAAGACATATTAAAGATCTTTACATTCTATTCTTGCTTAGATCTCAATCTGACAATCTCCATATACATCCTTGTTTCATTCCCACTTTTCCTAATATCTGATAGGCTCCACTTTCATATGATAAATATTGACAATTAATTTGAGAATGAGATTCACCTAAATGTTTCTCGTTTTTTCGTCATCTCAAGTTCACTGGATTGAGTGGAATAATCAAATAGTTTTTAATAGCATAATTTGGATTGTTGATAATATCAAATTTAAGCACAAATTTTTATTCTGTATGAATGCCATCGAAATAGTTCAGTTGAAGATTAACTTCTGATTTTGTGCTTAAAGAAATTGTTTTGGAATCAGACCTACACTAATTATATCGGTATTTATATTATTAATTAATAGTTTTGAAATAAACAAGTTAAATTTGATAAGATAAATTGATGGATTTAGAAGGGGGGAATTTAGAGAGAAAGAGAGAACTTAGGGATTGAAAAGGCTTTATTATTCAAGGGATTGCAGTTCATAGGTTCTGCATATCATCCATTTATATAGACTCCTGATGAATTTGGTGGAGACTATTTCCTTGGTTAATATCAACGGAGTGCAACTCCCTAGAGACTAATGCCCATGAACGCTAAGTGCATTAACTATTATTATTTCTAACATTCCGCGTCAAGCTAAAGCTGATTAAGCTTTAAACTTGTCAGAGATAAACCCTCTCCTTTTTAGTAATATTGTATCCAGTAAACATGGTTGAAAAAGCAACTGAACTACCAGATCACGCACAAAATCCATGCCCAGAACGGTCCGTTCTGATCCGGAACGGCCCGTTCTCCCTATGGAACGACCTGTGCTCCCTCTGGAACGGCCCGTTCTCCCTCCGGAACGGCCCGTTCTCCTTCCCAGAACGGCCCGTTCTCAACTACAATATGTAGTTCAATTTAGTAGTTTGGAACGGCCCGTTCCAGTTTGGGAACGGCCCGTTCTGGGCTACTGAATCAGCCTTTTTTTTTTTAACAATGTTACAATACTCCCCAACAAATAGGAATTTTCGTCCCCGAAAATAGGCTTACCTGAAAAGAGGAATGGATACTGTTCCTTGAACTGACTCTCTTCTTCCCAGGTTGCCTCACCCTATTCTTAAGAAAACTCCTTATGAGTTATTCAATGGAAGAAAACCTAATATTTCACATCTTCATATTTTTGGATGCAAATGTTTTGTACTTAATAATGGAAAAGATAACTTAGGAAAATTTGATGCTAAATCTGATGAGGGGATATTTCTTGGATACTCTCTAAATAGTAAATCATTTAGAATATACAACAAAAGAACTATGACTATTGAGGAATCAATACATGTTGTATTTGATGAAACTAACCTTGTTTGTCCAAGAAGAGATATTATTGATGAAATTGTAGAAAGCTTTGAAGATACTCATATTAATGAGCAAACTCACAAGGATGACAAAGATAAAGAAAAAGAGGATTCAACTATACAAGAAGGTCAAACAAACATCAATCCTCAAAGAGAGTGGAGAATCTCAAGAAATCATCCTCTTGAAAATATCATTGGAGATATAACAAAAGGGGTAATTACTAGAAACTCTCTAAAAGAAGCATGCAACAATATGTCTTTTGTTTCTGAAATAGAAGTTAAAAATATTGATGAAGCTTTAAATGATGAACATTGGATTAATGCTATGCAAGAAGAATTAAATCAATTTGAGAGAAATCAAGTATGGGATTTGGTAAATAGACCCACTAATCATCCCATTATAGGAACAAAATGGATTTTTAGAAACAAACTTGATGAACATGGTTTAGTCATAAGAAATAAAGCTAGATTAGTTGCTAAAGGTTATAATCAAGAAGAAGGTATAGATTATGAAGAAACATATGCACCAGTAGCAAGACTAGAAGCCATTAGGATGTTACTTGCCTATGCATCAATAATGGACTTCAAATTATACCAAATGGATGTTAAAAGTGCTTTTCTAAATGGTTTTATTCAAGAAGAAGTTTATGTAGAACAACCCCCCGGTTTTGAGAACTCAGAATTTCCAAACCATGTCTTTAAATTGAAAAAGGCTCTTTATGGATTAAAACAAGCTCCTAGGGCATGGTATGAAAGACTTAGTAAATTTCTTTTGGAAAAAGAATTTACAAGGGGAAAAGTTGATACTACACTCTTTATCAAAAGAAAAATGAATGACATCCTTTTAGTGCAAATCTATGTTGATGATATTATTTTTGGAGCTACTAATGACTACTTGTGCAAGGAATTTTCAAATGATATGCAAAGTGAATTTGAAATGTCCATGATGGGAGAACTAAATTTTTTCCTTGGACTACAAATAAGGCAAACCAAAAATGGAATTTTTATTAATCAAAGCAAATACTGTAAAGAATTGCTCAAAAGGTTTGGAATGGAGAATGCTAAATCAATAGCAACACCAATGAGCACTACTTGCTACCTTGACAAAGATGAAGTGGGAAAATCCATAGACGTAAAGAAATATAGAGGTATGATTGGATCTCTCTTATATTTATCTGCAAGTAGACCTGATATTATGTTCAGTGTTTGTTTATGTGCTAGATACCAATCTAACCCTAAAGAATCTCATTTGAGTGCTGTTAAAAGAATTATGAGATATCTGTTAGGAACCAAAAATCTAGGTCTATGGTATCCTAAAAACATGCCTTTCAATCTAGTAGGTTACTCCGATTCTGATTTTGCTGGGTGTAAAACTGATAGAAAGAGTACTAGTGGAACATGCCATTTTATTGGATCCGCTTTAGTATCATGGCATAGTAAAAAGCAAAATAGTGTTGCTTTATCTACTGCTGAAGCAGAATATATTGCTGCTGGAAGTTGTTGTGCACAAATACTATGGATGAAACAACAACTATCTGATTATGGTTTATCATTAGATCATATTCCAATTAAGTGTGATAATACTAGTGCTATCAATCTCTCTAAAAATCCAGTTCTTCATTCTAGAACAAAGCATATTGAGATACGACATCATTTTCTTAGGGATCATGTTCAAAAAGGAGATTGTGTTCTAGAATTTGTTGAAACAAAGAATCAATTAGCTGATATATTCACAAAGCCCTTACCAAAAGAAAACTTCTTTTCAATTAGACAAGAATTGGGGATTCTAGACTCTTCCCACATTATTTTTTGACTCTTCTAGCAAATTTTTGGAAATTTTAAGAATTGTAATCGATTACGTATTCAAGTAATCGATTACCAGAGCGTATTTGTTTGTTCTGCCATAAATGTAATCGATTACAAAGTTTGTGTAATCGATTACCAGTGCGTATTTGCTAATTCTGACACATGTAATCGATTACATAGTAGTGTAATCGATTACCAGTGGGTGTTTTACTTATCTGGGTACGTGTAATCGATTACCAGTGGGTGTTTTACTTATCTGGGTACGTGTAATCAATTACCATGGAATGTAATCGATTACCAGTGGCAAAAATGCACAGAATCTGAAAAGAAAATTTGTTTGTCTGAATAAAAGAAAATAAGTAAAATTTGTATAAAGTATTTAGCAAAATTAATATTATTGATTTCTTTCTCCAGGTGGTGCTACCTATGTTTGCATTTTTTTTTTCTGTCTCTATGGGAGTCTGTGTATCAGGCCTTGTATGCGGAATCTTGCTATTCCTTATTCTTATGTTCAGCTTTCTTGTTGTCTTTAATAAATTGAACTTTGCTCATCAGAAAAAAGATAAGAGCAATGCTTGTAGGGTTATATATATATATATATATATATATATATATATCTTTTTTTTTTTTTTATTGTCTGTTTTGGAGTTCAACCTTCACGGTTTTATAAACTTTTTTTTTTTGTAAAATATGTATCTGTTTTATAAATCTTTATTTCTCTTATTGTTTTAATAATGTGGAATTTGATTTGTATCCCAATAATGCTATTATTATTTCTTTTCAACACATTTTTATTTATTAATAAATAAGCGTATTTTTGGGAGTCAGTATAAAAAAAATTGAAAATTACTTTTAGTCATATCAAGATATAATAAGCTTAATGCTGAGAATATTTTGAAAAGAAAAAAAAAGTATTTGTTATCTAATATGTACCTCATTTCCAGCAATGTCATCCATGAGCCTACTAATAGTTATAGCAGCTATAACAATGTTTGGGTGACTTGTTGCCCATATAAGGATCTCCTCTGTTGTGTCTTCTATGCCAATGAAAGATATGATTATCAACACAGGATAACCGATTGATACAGTTGCAACTTGCATGTATTCATTTATGGTTGGTGTATGGTTACAATGAAGCCATCTTGCCTCAGTCATTTGAGCCTGTACCAGCCTTTTCATCTAGAATTAAAACACAAATTTATGATACTGAGAAGTGTGTTCCATACTTTTTGATTGATTTACAAGAAGATTTCTCCATACAAGTGTACATCAAATAATAGTTATAATAATGGATAAAAATTAAAATTTTGATTGGATTATAAAAAAAAAATTCAATAAGGGTATAAAAATTATCTATCAGACTTAGGTTTCATATTTTTCTTTTATATTTTATATTTTTTTATTTAGTTAGAATTTTACACTAGGGAAAATGGTCTATGAATAAGAGCTAATAATGTATTTTATTTTACACATCATATCATAACAAGTTAATATAATCTCAAATTATCTAGCCTTTGTTCTCTCCTTTTCTTTCTTCATACTTCAGTCTCAATATTTCAAGATTATCCTATTTTGTGTATACAATTTTCTATCTATTTCACCTTTAATAATTGTTAAAAAAATTGTCACAAATATAAACAAAGCAAAATATATTATGAAAAAATATATTATTTTTTCTGTTTTACTCAAGCATAAAGTGCGTTTTTCATTCTAGTATATATATGGGGAAATGTACTCACTATAATTCCAAATATTTTTCTTGTTGCATCATTTTCAGTTAAGCACAGTTAAGCAGATCCAAATTAATTGCGAGGTTTGGTTATCTCATATGGGATTGGTGAAATTCTTGTAAGGAAAAGAGGAATGGTTTAGATCACACTATTAATTGCCCATAGGATAGCAAAAGATATCTTAAATATATTTTTAGTCTCTCAAATTTAAGATAAAATTTTTTTTAATCCTTCAAATTTAAAATGAATATTTTTAGTTCCTGTAATTTTTAAAAATCTTGTTTTAGTCCTTTAGATTATCAATAACATATCTGAAAGTGACAAATTAAGATGGTTATGCTATATCAATTGGATTTATTGTAATGTTTTCACTAATAGGAACATCAATAAGTAGATTTTATGCAATAATATTTAATAAATTTCTTAATAAAATTTGAATGTAAAGATTAAAATAAGATTTTTGAAATTACAGGGACTAAAAACAACAATTTTAAATTTGAGGGATCAAAAATAAATTTATCCTAAATTTGAAGGACTAAAAACATATTTAAGTCGCAAAAGATTCATTTTCTCTAAAGTCTTTCCAAAATATTTAAAAATAATTAATAATAAAAATAAAGAAATGTATTTATCTTTATTGAAAATAAAGAAATGCATTTCCAAAATATAGCCACAAAAAATAAAAAAGTTCAAATGGTATGGAAGATGCACTTAATCTATTATGTCAATTGAAAAAAATAATATAAAAAATTGCAGGTAACTATTGCATGCAAATAAATAAAAAAAACTTTAATCATACTTCTTTCTTAGCATACTCGATGTAGTATGCTTTTCCTTGATTTTTCATCTCTTTCTCTATTTCTTCAAAAACATCCAAAATTGTTGTATAACAAAATTTCATGTATTCTGGGAGATCAGCCAAACAACATATATCCCACCTGCTAGTCAATAGAAAGTTGGTTTTAATTAATTTATTTGAAGAAAAATAGTGAATCAAATATATACTAATATATACCATTTTTTGTGCGTCTAACCTCTCAATTGCATTGGTGAAAACCTCAAGTTCATCAATGGTTCCATAGGCATCATACAAGTCATCAATGATGGCAATTATAGAACCTATTTTTATGATTATCTTTCTAGCAAGAGAATATTGTGGCTCAAAGTAGACTCCCAAAGTCCAAATGCAACCTTCTACAATCCTATCTCGTACGAAAGGCAATTTTGTTGGGACATTTAAATCCTTAATCCACCACCTGATCACCAAATTCAATATTAATTTCTAAAATGAAAGGTTTTAGACTTGGGGTTTATTTATTTATTTAATGAAAGATCATAGTTTGAGAGGAAGATATTACTTGGTCACATTACTGAGTTCTTTTCGATGTAGCTTTTGCAGCATATTAAAATCTAATTTTGCAAAGGTTAGCAAATTTTCATCACGGGAAGGATCTTCTTCATAGAAAGAGATATAATGTCTTGCCTCCAACCTAGGTATTCCCTTATGAAGTGCTTGGCCTAAGATGTGGTTCACTTGTGTAGCAAGAAAAGGGCTTAATTGGGTGGTTAAGGACTTGGTTAACTGAACATGAGTGAATTTATATGCTTCTTCAAGTATCTCTTCTCCATGAATTCTTAGTTGGGATGCTTCATACAAGCTCATCATTCCTTGTATATCATTGGCTAGCCTTTCATTGAACTTTCCAGTTTGGTCCTTGAATTTATAAAATATATCTGCTTAATTAATAAACATGTGTTAATTCTAGGTATATATATATATATATATATATATATATATAATCATTATGCATGCATGCTATTATATCACTATTAGAAAAATGTCATTTTCTTGCAAAAAAAAATATTTGCAGAAATTTTTTGCGAATTTTCTTACAATAATAATTTCACAAAAAGACTTGCAGCATTTTACTCTACTGGTTTGTGCTTTCCCCCCTAAGCCACTGCTTTTTCAATAATTCAAGTTGTAGTCACACTCATTCCAATTTAGAGTAGATTTTCTCCTTTATTTTATATATAAAGTGTAAACAAGTGTCCTACCTTATTGTCTATTTCAAACCAAATTGAATTTGGTGGAGTTTTCTTTTTTGTTGCTCAAGTTAATAGTACATTTTATTGTATCAGTTTATTGTTGGGCATCATAGGCCTAGGTACATAAGTAAGATCTTCAGAGTGGGGGAAGATTTTATTCACGAAATTAGATTCTCTAATTTAGGAAGCCATGAGAATCGTTCGGTGTCTGCAGGCGTTGTCAATCAATCATTGGGTTTGTTAAGATTTTTTTATTTTTCCTTTTGTTGTACTTGGTTTGCTTCTCCTATATAGAAGTAGTGTATTGCACACATTTTGAAACAGGAAGGAAATTATTCAATAATCTTTTTGTTTCTCTCTTATATTTCTAGAGGTAACATATGTATTGATTGTCTACCCCACATCATTTGGTGCTTTCATTGATTCCTCCCAATGGTCAATAACATCATTCACAAACCATTACCCACCTTGAAGATGGAACCCTCAATGTCATCAATACTCAAAGCTCCCTCGTGCTTTTACTCTAGTCCTCTATTTTATGTCTTTTGTTGGTGTCAACATCTTTTGTGGCATAAACTAGCTTAAATATTTGGTTTAACATTAAGGATTGGTCGATCCCTACGTTTTCCAAATCCTTACAAGATTTCCTTGGTTTGGTGGGTTTCTACCGTTACTTTATCAAAGGCTATGCCAAGATTGCAACTCTATTCACTGCTTTGTGATGCAAATATGGTTTTCAATGGTTTGCTAAAGCTCAATCATCATTTCAATCTTTCGAAATAGCCATGATCCAAGCTCTAGTATTAGCTCTTCTGATTTTTCAATTCCTTTTGTACTCAAGACTGACACTTCTAGTATTGACATGTGAGTTGTCTTGATATAGTACAACCATCCTATAACTTTCTTTAGTAAGCAATTCTACCCCAATTGTTTTGATCCTTCTCTTATACCTGGAAACATCACGCCATCACTAAGCAATGGACGCAAACGCAATACTTACTAGGACACCCTTTTACCATTCTTATAGACCATTAAAACATGGAGGAGTTGATGACTAAAGTTATTCAGACTCCAAATAAACATGTTTAGGTTGCTAAATTGATTGGTTACGATTATACCATCCAATATGAACTTGGGATGCAAAATGTTGTCGTTGATGCTCTTTCTCACATCCACAAGCCTAACCTTGTTTCCATCTCCCTCTAGATTCTCTCTATGTTCCTTTTCAATTTCTAGGATGACATCAACAAAGAATTGGTCCACATTGATTTTTGAATATCACAGGGTCTCATATTTCCCAAAGGTAAAATTTGGTTGAATTGTACAAATTCGTTCAACCCTCTTGCCCGATGAATTTCACTTTTCACCTTTAGGCCACCTATGGTGTTTGCCAAGACTTTCGGCCACATTTGAGATAGTTATTAAGAGAATATGTGTCAGGAAGATGTGAATTTTTATATATCATAATGTTCACATGTATGTAATACTTTAAAATTTTCAAAATTATTAAAAGAAAATTTTAATTAATTAAATATATTTTATAAATATTTTAAAAGTTTTTAATAATTATATATTTTTAATGGTCTATAAGAGATCTATGGTCAAAATATATTTAATTAATTAAAAAAATTTAATTGATTTTTAAAAGTTTTTAATAATTATAAATTTTAAAGTATTTATAATCTATAGATCTCTTGTTTTTTCATGCATGTTGTGAGGAAGAAATCTCAAATATGATTTATAAATTATGAATTTGTGTTTCGTTCTCTTCTTATTATGTGTCTTATTTGTGAAGATTGAATTATATATGTAATGAATTTCGTGTAATTTGAATTGTTTGAGAATTTGCGAGTGTTTGTAGTTTCTGTATGAAATTGTTGATTTATAGAGCAAAACAAAGATTGATATTAATTGCATAAATAGGTTAAATTGATATTAAGTTTGAGTAATTTATGGTATAATAAAGTATTATTAAGTTTTAATCATGATTTTTATTGATTTATTTTTAGAGTGTTGATTTCGTAATGTGTGACTTTCACACATTTTGCAAGTTTCTCATGAATTGTTATCGCCCTAGGCACATATTTATGGCACTAGGCATGCTTATACCTACTCTTCTTTATTCCTATGGCATTGAGGCTCAAATGAGCCTCTCTGGGTACCATTTGATGTTGCTCCTACGAAGTTTTGCATTTGGGCCTGACCTCAGCCACGCCAAGCATAAGTGTTATAGATAGGGTTTTGTCGTCTCCATGTCAGGCTCAAAAAACGTTGCACCAAGCATGATAATGTTAGGATTAGATTTTATGATGTTCATAATAATTGTAGTCCTAGATGTTAACTTTTAAATTCCATTGAAATCATCTAAACAAGAGGTCTAGAACTCAAAGTATGATCAAATTAGTGAGCGGAGGTTAAGGTGTCAGATTTAGGCTAAAATGTTATGGTTTTGTAATTTTGAAAAATGGTAGATGGCAAAATCAACTCTTAAAGTCAACATAAAAGTTTTAGATAGTTGTTTTATATTTCTAACAAAATTAAGATAAGCTTGATAGAATGTATATAGATCAAGATGTCATGTTTGGATGACCTGAGGTCATAGAAGGTTAAGTTATGGAAATATTTCTTGCGAGTAATGATGGTGAATTGCTTTACCTCTTAAGTATTTAATCTTATGAATGATTTGAGGTACCTATATCAATGTTTAGGGAAGAGAACTTATGGGAGAGAACAATTGTGTATAATTTATGATGTGAGTTAATTGTGAATGACCTAAGGTGTTTTGGTGATCGTGACGTCTAAGGAATTAATGTGTAATATCAATAACATGTTAGATAACTTAAGTTATTGATGCTTAATTTGATGTTGATCTCTTAGTGATTATAGTTGATGCATTAACATATGATTTCATACTAGTTCTATTTGAGGTGTTATTAGATGATGTTGTAGATATTGTTATGTTTGAATTGCGAACATGTGAATCTTGTGGGATACAATGTGTTGTGCTTGTGTGTGGACCATGTGATGGTCTTGAGATGTGAATTCTAAATTGAGGCTTAGCAAGGATTAAGTTTGGGCATGTTGGTCTAATAATGATATAAGTAATACATGTGTGTTATGTATTTGTGATAATGTGATGACATGATATTACATTGGGTCTTGTGTCACATGCATCATATGTATAAGTGTTTTGATGGATATGATACGGAATACCTTACTAGGGAAGGTACCACTTATGTAAAAGCTTGGGAATTCTTAATCTTGGGATAGTTAGGTTTGGGAGCACCAATTCTGCCCATTTGTGTGCATCGGATGTTACTTGCACGACACCGTTATCACAATGCACCCTAATGTATCTTTTCCTAGTGTAAAGTGCAATGAAAATGTGACTTGACATGTTCTCCTAAGATACTCTTTGTGTGCCTTAGGGAAATGCACCATGATGTGATTATTTTATTAGCACCACATGCATATGCACATTGAAGTTCATGTTCATTGCATTATGTGTGTTAATGTGTAACTATGTGATGAATTATACTATGACTCCATTACTAAATATGTTATCATACCTTATTATTGTAATATCTTCCCATTGTTATTTCTATATTTCGTTGTTTCTATGTCTTGAGGTTGTACGTTTGACTATTTGGATATGTTTTATGTCGTGAATCAGTCTAAGATATTTCTTACTCTCATTTTCTTGGTTGTGTTCTTGTGTTTGTTGTTATAGGTGAGGATCATCATTGTTTTGATGTTGGGTTTTACTCTCTGATAAGATGTGATATTAGGGCGTAGCTAGGATTCAAGTTTCTATTAATTGTTTATGCATAGAACAATTGTTAGATTCCTTTGTTTTTATTTTATTAGACACTTATGTGAATACCTTGTTTTAGTTCTAATTCATGATGTGATATCCTCTTGATGAGGATGTTGTGTTATTTTAGTAAAATTTCTCTTTTATAAATCATTTTCTTAAATTTCAATCTATATTTTTTTTATAGTATGCGAGATAAAGAGTGTCACATTACCAACTCATCAAAAGTATGTTCCACACAAATCTTATAGGTCATTGCTTCCTATCCCTCCCATATTTGTCCCCTTGGAAGATTTGGCACTTGATTTCATCATTAGGTTGCTTCCTTTTCATGAGTGCATCATGATATAGTAGTTATGGATCGCTTTTTCGTAGGAGCGCATTTCAACTTACTACTCACAAGTTTTACTACACACTAGGTTGCTTAAGTTTTTCTTGACTCTATTTGCAAACTACATGCTTTTTCTAAAAGCCTTATTTTTTTTACAGGGATTTGTTTTTTATGAATCTTTTTTGGCAAGAGTTATATAAGTTCAATAGTACCAAGCTTCGCATGAGTAAAACTTATCACCCTCAAAGTGATGACATAACTAAGGTTCTGAATCATAATCTGGGACAATACCTTGTGCTCATGTTCATCATAAACCAACATATATTTTTGGGAAATTTTTTGTTTTTTAGAATGATGTTATAATACTTCTTTCATTTTGCCATTAGACTTAGTCTATTTCACATCACTTATTGCAAATCTCCTACATGTATCCCACACTACCTCTGTGGTACTTCTTCATCGGAAATTATTAAGTCCTTTTTGGTCTCAATGGAAGAACTATTTCAATCCTTGCATTGGAAGTTACTTAAGGCTTAGAAATTAATGAAGGCTTCTATTGATGCTTATTGCTAAGATGTTTGTTATTGATGGGGAATTAAGTCTATGTAAAACTTATGCAATATCACTAACTTTCCCTTCATGAATCTAAGTACTAGAAGTTGGGTAAAAGGTACTATGGTCCATTTCAAAATATTGAAATGATCAATCTCATGGCTTATCATTTGGAGTTACTAGTCTAAGCCAAAATCCTTCTCGTGTTTCATTGTTCTTAACTCAAGCCACATCATAGCCCTAATATTTCTCAATTTCCCTTTTCAAATTTCTTTAACAAAGGGTCAACCTCTATTTCACCCCCTTTTTAGTTTTGGATTCCAAATTGGATGCCTTTGTGGACCTTCCCTACCAATTGGTTCTAGTCTAATGGCATGGCCAGCAAGTGCTAATGCTAATGTTGGGCTTGACAATAATGACGGTGTAATTAAGAACATGTTCAAACACATAAAAAAGAGACCTTGAAATTGAAAGATTTTATTCACTATGATTTAAATTATCTAATTTAGGGAGTCATGTTTGTTAGGTGTCAAGTGTTCTGTTTTTAGCTAATCGTTGAGTCTATTAAGAGTTTGTTATTTTTCCTTTTGTTGCACTTGGTTTGCTTCTCTTATATATGAGTGTATTGCACACATTTTGAAATAGAAAGGGAACTATACATAATTTTTCTCTCTTATTTTTTTGGAGTAACATCCTAGGCCTCTAATAAAGGGATAAATATATATTTTACTTGTCCCACCCCCATCATTAGTTGTGCAAAATTAATTTTCAAATTTATAATAAATTATTTTTTTTTAATTTGTTTCAACTCATTCTTCCTCTAAAATTGACTTAACTACATGACACAATGTAATACAACGTCCCTATACCTAAATAGTGAAAAAGTAACTTGAATGAGGAATTTAAGATCAACATTTAGGTGCAATGTTCATAACAACATACTTGGTAAAATGCGATATCCTTGTTGTCTAAGCAACCGAAAAAGTAAAGCCAATTGATGAAGATCATCTTCAAGAACTATGATATTATTGTCCTTTGTTGAAATCTCATATATTTCAAGCAACACTCCATCAATTTCATGTTGAAAATGGTATGAAACACCTGTGCGTTGGATCGAGTCTAAAAAGTTTAACGTAAAAGAGAAATTTTTACTAGTAGATGAGACAAGAACCTTCCTTAAACCCTCTTTTAATAGTTGAAATTGTTTGTTTTGGTCATTTGTTTCCTGCAAGTAGTGATGATAAAAATTAATATCAAAACTTTAATACCATAAAGTGAAAGAGGAGAATCATTTAATTATAGATGTACTATATACTTGGCTAGTTAGACTATGAGATCTATGTAATCCTTTTAGACCATGTCTATGAAAAATGACACTATCATGTAATGGTCATGTTGAAGGAGATGGGGAAGTAACCAATGGTACACTAACAACAAAATTCCAAAAAAAAGGGAAATTCTTCTCTCAAACTAACATTGTCTTTGGTGTAGTGGCAGTTGGTAGGAAGACGAGAAATGATAGAAGATGGTGGAAGCTTATATTTTGAGTGTGGTATATTAGAATTGAGATGAAGTGAAACAAATAATACTTGAGTCTTAAAAGTTTTTTTTTATCCTTGCTAAAATGAGAAGACTTGAGTGTGATTTATCATTTTATCCTTCTATTCACATGAGCAAAGTAGCATAATCAATTATGTTACCTTTTGGACGAAGCATAATTGGTTATGTTAACATAATCCCCAAAATTTTTAGTTTTAATTTTTGTTTTAACTTTTAAATTTTTTCTTTAATAGTTCTATATTTTCATTTTGCCAATTTTTCACCTTTAATTTTTATTTTGTGTTAAAATTTTTAATTTATTATTTTCAATTGTATATTTAATTGATTTATTATTTTTTATAAAACATTATTGCATATGAAAGCGCTTAATCAATTATGTTTTCCTCCTAGGTAAAATATAATTGAGTATGTACTCAAATATAATCATTATGTTTTGATCGAAGAGAGAATATAATTAATTATATGAACTTAGTTTATAAAAAAATTGAAAGCAAAATTAGATGTTAAAGATAAAAGATATTTGTATAATTTAATTTATAATATCACATTAATTCTTTATTTAATTCAATATAAATTATTTTTTATTTACTTTTCTCTTATCAAATAACTTCAATTTCTATTTTTTTTAATATTTTTTTTCCTTTCTTCCCCTCTCAGTTTCTTTCCTCTTTATTACTAAAGGTTCAAATGAACCAAAACCAGAAAAAAAAAATATAAAAAATAAATCTAAAAAAATAAGATTAGTTTTTTTAGACTTGCATTTTCAATGTTTGGATTTGGACGGCTTTGCTGAGTACTACAAGTTCTTTTGTTTAGTTATTTTATTTTATTTTTAATAGCATTGAGTATGTAGTTTGACATTTGTGGCGATAAAATGATAATTAATAGTTATTCATAATATATGGTAAATAAATATAAAATATTAAACATATAAATTGGAAGAGTTAAAAAATGTATTTTTAATATTTAAGAATATATAGTCAATTAATTTTAATTTTATTTTCTGTTCTATTAAATTTTTCTTGTCTAGATTACATGTATCATATCTACTATTTAAGATAATATATTTAAGTTGAAAAGAACTATTATAGATAACAAGATCTTTCGTATTTAATATATTTGCATATGCAGGATTTAAATTCAAAATTATTAGTTAAATTTATAAAATTAAATATTTTAAAAATCATTCAGAAGACTTTTTTTTTTAGACAAAGAAATGTGATATTAAAAATAATACAACGGGTATTCCAATTCGTGTATATGATATTTATTAGGCTCAAGACACTCATCCTTACATTCATTTAAAAGGAAAAAAGTTAAAGAGAAAACATGTATATCTCTACTTTAACTATTTAGAATACTTTAACTATTTAGAATTCGAAAAATTATATACGTGTGTATGATTTTACTTATAAGAGATAATATGAGAATAATTAATAAAAATTATTAAATTAAGATTAAAATTAATAAATTATTATGATTAATTTTATTATAAACATCTCTTATATAAAATAAAGTACTCAAAATTTCACCTATCAAATTTTATTGTGAAAGATATGATTTAATGAATTCGTCATAATATATATGATCCATGCATAATATCATGAAAAATAGATATAAATTTTTTGCTATTTAGATATTTGTATATTGTTGAGGTAAGGAATCACGGTATAGATATTTGGGATAGATTGCATTTTAAGTGAGTTGAAAAAACATTATCAACAACTTAATAGAGATAATTGGTTGTGGCGATGGTGACAATTAGCACAATTATCACCATAACCATGATCTTTATTATTGTAGTTGTAACATTATAATAGAGACAGATTGTGGCCGACAATCATCATTATTATCACTATTATTGTTACTAATATTGTTATCGTTGATGTCACAATCATTCTCATTGTCATCACAACCATCGCTAATGTCGCTGCTATCACATAATGACGATTGTAGCTATATATGTTAAGAGCAGAGATGGTAACATGACAATAATAATAATTATTGTATATTATCACTATCATTATCGTCATATGGAGGCAACAATGACATAGTGATGGTTGATAGTAATAACAATTGTGACAATGGTTTGATCATATGAAAAGATATTTGTGTAATTTAATTTATAATATCACTTTAATTACTTCTTTATTTAATCCAATATAAATGAATTAACATGATTTTTTATCTACTTTTCTCTTACCAAATAACTTCAATTTCTATTTTTTTTTTTTACTTATTTTCCTTTTTTCCCCTCTCTGTTTCTTTTCTCTTTACTAAAGCTTCAAATGAACCAAAACCAGAAAAAAAAATAATATAAAGAATAAATCTAAGAAAATACGATTAAATTTAACGAGACATACACGTACCTCGAAACTAGTATCATAGGAAAGGAAGTAATCCCCCCAAACATTAGGGTGATAATTTGCGGTGCGACGAGTGAAGTTTGGGTTGGGTTTTGCATCATTGGTTGAAACGGGAAGTGATGATGATATGTTAGACATGGTTTGGTTCGTGGGACAAATGGAGACTTCTTTGGTTGGTGCAATGTAGCTTAACTTTCAAATGTTGAAGGAACTAAGCCACTTAATTTATAGGAGGAAACCAAATAGAAGAAATGATGGTGACTATTAATTGAGATATTTATTTTTTTCTTATTTAATAGAGTTATATCACTTTCTTATTACGTGATCTTATAGAGATAAAATAGTATTTTTAATTGCAACTATATCTTAGTTATATGAGATATATTTAATTTATTAAAATTTTAAGATTTTATTTCAAATTTATCGTAAGATTATTTTCTTATAATCTATGCAAATGAATATTAGTGACACTTGTACGTGATCTAACTAATAATGGTTTTTCTTTTCATTATTTTTCTTATTTCCTTCTTTTATAATGTATAACTTGGAATAAATGTTAAAATTTAAATTGAAAATAAATGAAAAGATATAATACATTATGTGATATATTATAAGAGTTAATCACCTATACACTGTCAATGTAAAATTTTTTTACACTAACAATCAATTATATCTTTTAATTGTGTCATGTCACTGTTAAAAGTAAATGTGTTTATATATAGTGACATGACACAATTAAAAGATATAATTGATTGTCAGTATAAAAAAGCTTTACACTGACAGTGTATAGATGATTAACTCATATTATAATACATATAAAAGTTCAAGTTATAGAAATGAGAATAAAATTGGTCAAAATAAACGTTAGAAATTTTTTTTTATTCTTTTGTTGTAATAGTTCGGACACATTAGAATGAGAGGGATTCATAAATTTGTACAAGTGAGAGACTATATAGTTGAGGATGGTTTAAAAGAATTAATTTGTACTATCTATATTTACAAGATGTATCTATTTTTCAGTAGCTTATCACATAAAAACTTCAAAGTTAAGCGTGATTGACTTAAAATAATTTAAAGATGGGTGATCTTTTGAAAAGTTTTTCAGAAACTGTGCAAGTGAAGACAAAATATGCCGAAAAGTCTTGTGTTGGCTCGTGTGGATAGTCGTTGATCCTAAAAATAAATGGACATCTCAAAAAGAACTATGCACGTAGGGTTTTGACTAGTAAAAGGTTGGAGTGGAGTCACTAAGACGTCAAATCTGAAAGGGTGTGTGACCTTATAGGTTAGTCTTAACTATTTTATGGCATTGTTAACTATGAAAAGTTCAAATGACTATTTTAGGGATGTGTGACCTTGTGAGAAGTTTTTTTAGAAAGTGTATGAGTGATGACAAAATATGTTGAAAAGTTTGTTCTAGTTTGTAGGGATAATTGTTGATCCCCAAGGTGATCATACATCTCAGAAAGAGTTATCCATGGAGGGTTCTGTCCGGTGAAAGATTCTGACCAATAAGGAGTTGTGTAAAGTATCACCATGTGAAGTGTTATGAAATGAAGTTGCTAAGATGTCAAGTCTACGAGGTGATATAAATGGAATTAGACAATGTTTTAAAAATCAGATTGATTAGTAATCAATTATGATACTAGGCCAGTGGTTTAGTGGTCAAACTAGTGGATTATAATTGCACCACATGACCTAGTCTTTATTAATTTTTAAAAAATATTAATGTCATATATTATAAATGTCAATAAAATTCATACAAAACCCTTTGTGAAAATATTTATAAAATGAAATAAACTAAAATTTCTAATTCGAACAAAACATAAATAATTCATATGCTAAGAACCTCGATGTTACATTTTATCAAAGTTGTGCCATTAATTAAATTCCTCCAAATTCAAAATCACCTGCATACATAAATTCATATAAAACAACAAAGAAAAAAAGAATGAGAACATATCCCACTTCAGCTACTAATGTTGGAAAAAGTTGTGTAGCCACCCACATACAAATACATGCCAATAATATATAGTTAAATCAACACCATTATCACGATTAATTGTATCATATCATTTGCAACAATCAAGGCATACAAGGTCTCATACTTTAAAACACATCCCAATATCATTCAACTTCTACATTCACAACAATAGGTGTGCTATGCTCATGCAATATATAAGACTTTCCTAACTACATGCGTGTGGTGCTAGTAAAACAATTTCTCACTATTTGACCTAGTCTAGGATTACAAGCCAAATCAAGTCATGACTACATTATCACTAGAAGAAAATGTGGAGAAAAGATAAACACTAGAAGGGGGTCGAATAATGTGCATCAAAACTCACACATTTCTCGTAGTGAATTAGTAACTCTAGTCAAATGAAATGAAAAAAGCGGTCAAATGGAACATTGGGTATTTTTATACTGGTTTGTTTCAACCACCGAGACTACATCAAATTCTTAATCCAACTAGATTGAGTTTCACTATCTTTAAACAAAGATACAAGTATTCTTTCTACAGGCCACTCTCAACTTTAAGTATTCCCTGACTTTTCTCTTCAAGTAACTACCCAAGTATTCTTTTAACAATAAACCCCTTCAAGCTTACCAACCAAGTATTATTTTACAATTAAGCCTTTATAGGCTCAAAGCAAGTATTATTTTTCAAACAAGTTTTTTTAGGCTCAAAACAAGTAGTCTTGTCAGACTAGCCTTTCCAGGTACAACCTTATAGCAATGGTTATGAAGGTTACACAAGTGTTGTGTTCGTCTCACTTAGACGTTATATAACCAGTATAGAGCAATGAGTGTTTACAAGAAAGAATAAATTTAGGGAGAGTATGTTTATATACAAGTTTATACACACACACACACACACACACACACATATATATATATATATGCTCTCTCTCTCTCTCTCTCTCCTTATTTTCAATGTTATTTCATAAGCTTTGAATCTTCTTATATAGTAGCTCAAAGAAGATAACCATTGTAACACTTGGAGTCTAGCTCACAAGTTTTCTTCATTTGGCTTCATCATTTTTTCTTGTGATAGAAAGTAATCATTCGGTTCATTTAATGCAAACATTAAATTTATTTTACCAAATGATATTTATTATTTGATCAAAGAGGCTATTTATCAACTTTCCATACCAAACGGAGATTGTAGAAGCAATGTCAGCGCAGTGCAACAACAATTATGACTTTATATATGTTTCTTTGTGATTTTAGTGATATTTGTTCTTGGTACTAACAAAAAGTATGATCTTGTTCTCTTTAACAGATTTGTGAGTTAAGATAATCATCTAGCTCGATTTGTTAAGGAATGAAGCATTCAAGAAACTTTTGTCATTAGTCTCAATAAATAATAAGCATCTAATATATATGAGACAAATTGTATGTTTTATCCATTTTACTACGTCTTAGAGATGATATGCGTCTTATACTTTGTCTGATAAGTGTTTTCAAAAATATTTTAAGAAGAAATTTTTTAAGATATTTTCTCTTATAAAAATATTTTATTTGTTAGCATTAAAACTCTAAACTTAAGAGATTCAATATCGTCTTTTGACTTAATAGAAATACACCAGAGTATGTTAGGATAGCCATGTTGGCCAAGTTTCACCCTAGACACACTCAACGTGGTTGGACTAGGGCTCCCAAACCTAGATATCTCCAAATTCATGGAATCTCCAAGCTTTTACATAAGAAGGACCTTCACTAGCCGCATATTTCACATCATATCCATCACACAAAAAATACATTTATGCAGATGATGAATGTCATACATAGAATCTAATGCACAGTCAATAAATCACATTCACATCACAACATATTTCACATATCACTGCTAAGTCATACTTAAGCTTAATCATTAGTTTCACATGTCTCAAAGGTTTCACAATGTAAGCATTCAATGCCTCTCATGTATTCTCAATTTTCATTCTAAATCACATGTTATTCATTCACCTCACAATTAATATGTAACTCACTCTCACATTCAACTAATCATGTAATCCATTAATCATTACTACTTAAGTCAAAAATAAAATTTTATAGGTCAATAATATCATTATATCACAATAGCACATTCAAAAAACTAAAGATGCATTACATATGCATATAAGACACATTACAATCATAAACAACAAATGAGTTTAATCCCTCACACATACAAACATACAAACAATAGAATTGAGAGTCAATCCCGCTACCCAACAAATAACCCACATTCCAAAACGAAGTTCTCATTCTCCTTTATCTTGATTAACGCTAAAGTATGGGTTTGGATTTCTAAGCTCTTCTCCATTAGCCTTAAGCACATTTCTTTCTTCAGATCACGATATGCATAGTTAGGTTTTTGTAAATTAACAAAACCTTATTCTATTGATACATTTAAATAATATGTTAACCTTATCTCTTGCGTAGCCCATTGCTAAATGTCTAACCTAATTACCTCACAATTTTAATTTTAATTTATAAAGATAATTAATTACTAATATCTGATCTAATCACTCATAATATATTATCCCCAATTAATTACTCCTTGCTATTTTAAAAGATAAATGACTAAATTATTTAAAATAATTTAGTTTAAAAAATATCCTTTTTATTAACTACTCTTGTTTTTTTTTTAAATTTACCCTATTGAATTAATTAAAATCTTATATTAAATCATTTTGAAAAAAAATGGGATGTTACACAATTGAGGATGACTTAAAGGAATTAATTAGTACTACTAACAAGATGTATTTACTTTTTGATAACTTATTACTAAAGAATTTCATAGTTAAGTGTGCTTGACTTAGAGCCATTTAGTGATTCGTGACTTTTTGGGAAGTTTTCCAAAAAGTGTATCAAGACAAAATATGTTGAAAAATCTTGTGTTATTTTGTGGAAATGATCATTGATTTTAAAGGTGACTATACACCTCGTAAAGGGTTACCCACGAAGGGTTATTACCGATGAAAGGTTATATTACCAACAAGGAATTGTGTAAAGTGTTACCACGTGAAGTGTCATGGAGTGAAGTTATTAAAACGTCAAATCTAAGGGGTGATAAAATATATATAATCATATTGATACAAAATATTCATTATCATAAATAATGACTAATATTTGTTGGATAACAAATGGTATTAGTATGAAGTATTTGCCTTGTTAACTATTATTTTTCATTA